TGGTGTCTTCCTTCCATGTTAACCTGGACATCTTCCTCCCGGTGTTTTATCCCACGCCGCACACCGCTAGTGAGGAAAGGAGGCTGCACGCCCTGGACGTCAGACGTGCCCTTGCATTTTATCTAAAGCGTACCAAGCGCTTCCGCAGGTCGAACCAGCTCTTCATCGTGACAGCGGAGAGGATGAAGGACCTTCCAGTGTCCTCGCAGAGAATTTCCAACTGGATTATCTCCTGCATCTGGACCTGTTACGAGTTGGCACAGGTCCCGCCGCCACTGATTGTGACTGAGCTCAGGCATCCTCGGCAGCCTTCGTGGCGCACGTTCCTATCCAGGACATTTGCAGACCCGTGACGTGGTCTTCAGTTCACACGTTCATGGTGCACTACGCCATCACTCAGCAAGCCAGATGACGCTGGGTTCGGCAGAGCTGTGTTGCAGTCTACACGTCCATGAACTCCTACCTGCCTCGGTTGGCACTGCTTGGGAGTCACCTAATATGGAATGGACATGAGCAAGCACTCGAAGAAGAAAAGACAGTTACCCTTTCCATAACTGGTGTTCTTCGAGATGTGTTGCTCATGTCCATTCCATGACCAGCCCTCCTTTCTGGGAAGAAGGAACTGAGGGTGGGGGGAGCCAGCAGCGCCCCTTATAACACGGCATGTGCGTGCCGCTCCAGGGGGCGCCAGAGCCAGTCCCCTATGGTTACCACTGAGAGAAAAACTTCTGGCACCGGTGCATGTTGTGAGAATACACACTAATATGAATGGACATGAGCAACACATCTCAAAGAACACCATTTACGGAAAAGGTAACTGTCTTTTCCTGAGAGGCCATGAGTAGCTTTGAAAAGCTTTAATTGAAGATCTTTCTGAGACCATCAGTGCGTGATCGAATTTCCTCACATTATTTGTGCTTATTTCTGCTATTACTGAAATACTTAGTCTGGCTGTAACTACTCGCCATGCTTTTTTGAGACACGTTTGCATACAGTATCTAGTTCCACAGCAACTGATTTTAGGTGCCACCACTCTGGCACTGCTGCTTCAGAGGTAGCGAATGCAGTTGTTATGCAGTTCAGTTTGGGTCATTCTGCATAGTGAAGTCCTATCGGTTAATACGTTAAGTCCCTCTTACATTAAAAATAAGTCTGAGTTTTTTATGGCATGTACAGCTACAAGAAATACAATTCAAGTAACATGTCCCTTGTCAGCTGTAGCAGGGGTGTGTGTGTGTGTGTACACAGGCAGGTGGCAGCTGAACATGAATATCTGGCAGGGTGATGGTATAACTCAGTTATTTTAGAGAGTCTACTTATTAAAGATGCAAGGCACTTTCAGTGAGAGTAAACTCACATTTTGTTTCTTTGTGCTCAGATGTCTCTTTCTTCCTGTTGATTTTAGGTAACTTAGATTAATTAAAGTGTTCTTAATTGTTGTTAGAGACTAGGTGGGTGAGATAATACATTTTATTGGATTAACTGCTGTTGCTGTGAAGCTTGAAAGCTTGTCCCTTGCACCTGCTAATTGGTCCAATAAAAGATATTTCCTCGCTTGGCTTGTCTCTCTCATACCCTGGGACCAACACAGCTGCAATACTACAAACAGCAATGGTTAATATTTGCTGACTCTTTCTAAAAATGCCCTATCTGCTGGTTCCAGTGGTTGCTCCCAAAGGTCAAAGCTTGTAAAAGGCTAGGATCAGCAAATTCACATTTGAGACAGTCCTAGTCAGCTGTGAATACTGTATCTTGCAGGCAGATAGGATTCCATTAACCTTTAGTGCATGCTGCGTGGCACAGCTGCAGTGTTAAGCAGAGTAGAGCTGATATTTCCATATAAATATATTTCAACTCTAGCAACCAAGAGGAGAAGAGTACTGACTAGATGACATTTGACATGTTTAGTTCTTAGTCATTATCCTAATTGCCACCAGAGGGATTGCTAATTGCTTAGTGCCTATAGAGAATAAGAGGCCAGGGTTTGAAACATTATCTAAGGGTAGAACCGTGAGGATAAGAGCAAAGGGGATCAATAAAGCTTCATGTAGTCACTGATTCTGTTCTTATCACTGTGTTGCAAATTTGTGCCTGTCCATTCTACAGCTACCCAGATGAGTGGTCTGCTTTGGCTCTCAGCTATATGGAATCCTCTTACGAACAGCGTTCATATCTCTAGCAAGCAAATTATCTAGTTCCCAAGAATAGCCTTTTTAAAGAGGATGTGCTGCATCCTCTTGGAGCTTCTTTTGTGTAAACACATTTTAAATAAAAGAGCTTCATGGTCATCTTGATAAATGTGGTGCCACTACAAGAGACTGTTTTGTCAGAACTGCTTGCTTAATAAGCTGCCTTAAGAGCCATGGGCTTGAGTAAACTTCGTCAGGAACAATAAAAACACCTACGCTGTTCTTTGCTGGAGTCTGAAAACCAAGCAAGAAAAATGCGGCTTCTTTTTTTTTACCATTTTAACTGTTTGTAGGACAGTGGCACCATATCAACAGGCTGATGAAAATAGCCAGCAGCTCCACACAACAGTTCACTTAAAATAAAGATGATACAAGCAGTGCTCTGGAAGTGAAGGGGGATTTTTTGTAAAGGTTCTGGGCTTACTGTACTCAAGAGCGCCAATCTGCCATCTTTACTCAGATTGAGCAATAGATCTGCAAAGATCCCATATGTTTCAGTGGGCCTACTTGATGAGTAAAGTGCTATTCAACAGGTTTAAGAGGTCCAGAATGTGGTCTATAGTAGGTCCAATATCATATAATCATCAACCTGTATTTTCGTTCTTGCCAAATACTCTTGAAGCAGGTAGTGGGTTTTTTTCTTAACTGGGTGGGGTTGGGGGGTGATTAACAGACAATTGTGGGAGACTTTTCAGAAGTGCTTGAGCACCTGCAGCTGTTATTAAAATAATTGGAAGCTGCAGGTACTTGGTACTTACGAAAATCACTCTCATATGAGAAGATTCGATCCTTTCAAAGAGAGGGACAGTGGAATCAATATATTCTTTTCTTCAATTTTCTTTTTTCTTCTTCTCCACCCACCCCTTTGTTCAATCCTGTATGTCTCCTTATTTCCAATTTTTCCTTCCTTTGTCTTGCAACTTTACTGTATTTTTACACCTTCTCTAATTGTTTGGTTTGAAATGGTGGGGATTTTGTTTTTACCATATTTAGGACACCTGCCATTTCTCCGTTTCTTAATGAATCTGCTGTTCCATATGCCGTCAGTGACTTTTGTAACAAACAATACCATTTTCATCAGTGAAGTTAGTGGCGTTGGGTGGAAGTGATTAGTTGATCCTTTTAGAGCTGATGGTAGGTGGTAAAACAGCAAGCAAGATGGTAGATTACAGCCCAGATTGGCAGAGCTGGCAAGTATTTGATTCCTTTCTAGGCACGTGCATCATAACTGGATTGTCCAAAGCAAGTAGTTAGATCCAGAGGACTGTGGACTAGGTTTTCTTGGATTGTACTCTTGTCTCCTCCACGGATTGCTGTGTGTCTTCCAGCAAATCTTTTAACTTCCCTGTGCCATCGTTCATCCATCTGAAAAATGGAAGTAATATTTTATAGTGGTGGTTGTGACATTCCCCAGGGTGCAACTTGAACTGCTGTGTCCCCTTATCTCTCTAGACTGGGATGCCTTTTACACTGCTTTGCTAGTGAACAGCAAACCCTCTAGGCTCTGTTCATTCACAGCCACCAGCAGGTTAAAACACTCCCAGCTGAATGCATGAATGCTATGCCCAGCCATCCATGAATAGATACAGGGCAACACCCACATATCCCTCAATCCCAGCCTTGCCCCCAAGAAATGTGCGTCTTGTTCAGTACCCCACTGGACTGTACAAGCTCATAAATTAGTCTGTCATTCCAACAAAGGGTAATGAATATGCACCAGCCCTGTTGACCTGAGTAGAGATTTCCTGAACACTTCAATCAAACATGCTGGTTTAGATAAAACAGTAAAACAAGTTTATTAACTAGAGAAAGATTTAAAGTGATTATAAGTGATAAGGTATATGAGTTAGAATTGGTTACAAAAGAAATAAAAGGATAAACACACAAGCTAATTCCTAAACTTTACCAAGGCCAATAAGTTTAAAAGCAAACAGATTTCTCTCACCCAGAAGCTTTCAGCAGACCATACTAGCTGGAAAAACCTCCAGGCCAGGACCACTTCCCCAGTTCAATGATGCACCTTTGTCTTTCAAGCAATCTTGCTGCCGTGAGTAGAGATGGGGAAGGAGAGGTATCTAGAGGCATTTTCCCCACTTCTTTTACTCTAACCCTTTGTACTGGAAAAGTCGTTCCTGGGTCATGGGGTTAGGCAGTTCCATGGCATATCTGAGCTGCCAGCTGTCCTTCAGATGAATTGTAAATTTCTTGTTTACAACTCCCCTGCTGGTGAATCTCTGATCTTAGCACCGAGCTTTTAGCACCTAGCTGGCCTGCCAGTGTGCCTTTGTCTTTGAGAAAATGGTCTGAGGGTGTTACCCAGAACTACAGCATATTTCAGTAACACTCATATAGCAAGATCTTGTAACTCCATATACAGTGTTGATACACACATTTTAGCAGGACAGTTATGTTCAGTGGATTATGAGTTTTCAAATGATACCTCACAAGGCATACTTTGTACAAAATATATCGTAATCATATAAATTGGTAAACATGGGGTACATGATGTCAGATGGGGTACAATGTGTCACAGTGATGAGAAGCTTACTTAATATTTATAAATGCTTTGGTATCCTTGGGTGCAAAGTGCTATAAATATAACTAAGTGCAAAGTATTCTATTAATAGAACAGCTAAATAATCCCATAAATAGTTTTGTAATAGTTGTAATAATTTCTGGTAAAAAAAAAAAAAAAGTGAAATTGCTGTAACTCTTGAGCTAACGGCATTATAATAAGCACCTCGTAGATCTAGATTTTTCCACAGCACTTGAAGTCTATACTTTAATCTCTCTACATTTTGCCCTGTACAGGAAAAAGTGTTTTGGAGGAGGACAGCGATAATGATGGTGAACCGAATGAATATGACCTGAATGACAGCTTTCTAGATGACGAGGAGAAAGAGGAGTATGACCCTACTGATGAAGATTCCGATTGGGAGCCAGATCCTGAAGACAAAGATAATGAAGATGTTGAAACACTTTTGAAAGAAGCACAAACATTTATTAAAACCAAAAAGTAGTTTTGTCCAAATGATGTGAAGTACTTACAACGTACCTGTTTACAGGATTGCTGGGGGTTTGGGGAATGACTTTGAAAGCCAACTTTACCCATGCTTGAGACACTACAAACAAGGATTTTTAATGAGGAAAAAATGAGCAACAGCTTCCTTTTCTTTTGATGCACATTGTTTTGCCTTCGATTTTTTAGCTGATGAAGTCAAATCATAAAGTCTGGGATTATATTGTGGTTTAATTGAAGATTTTTTTAAAAAAAGTCTCTTTTCTGAGTCTTTTCCAACTTCTTCACAGCTCATATTGTCAGAGGGAGGATTAATGGATTGGAATGTAGCTATTAACATTCCTCATGAATATCTTTCTATGCTTGCAAAAAAAGTAAGGATTGTAGACCTACCTTAGGGAGGTGTATAGTTTTGCTAAGGTGTAATATATTCCATGCTAAATAAAGAAAAAGTAACATTGCACAACTTTTTTTTATGGCAGATCAAATCATTCTCAGTTCAATAGGGAGTCTTTGTTCAACCAGTTATTTTGATTAGTTTGTTATTCAGCTATCCTACACTGTCATATTAAGTTTTAACAGGCTGTTAATAGTGGATGTCTTCACCTTATAATTGCACTTATTTCTTTGACATTCCTGGTGTAAATTGCTAATTTTGAAAACTGTCTAAATAACTTGGGGAAAACACATTTTTTAAAATTTATGCTAAATTTCAAATTATGTCCCCAAATCAATTCTAGTACATCTTTTTTTCCAGTCAGTGTACATTGATGATACTTTCAATTTATATTGAAATTGAAACCTTAATGGCTGGTTCTACAAACTGATTTTAAATTATGCTGAGCTTATTTAAGTGAAGCTTGTAGTTTGTTTGCCTAATGCTTCCCATTAAGGCCCTGTTTTCAATTGGCTTTTAACTTTCCCTAACTTTTAACCTTTTCAGACTGAATGTTTTTGGAAAGTTTCAGCAAAAATGGTTTAGCCGTTACCGAATACAAGGTTAGGAGAAAACACATTGTTTTGCCTGGATTTAAAAAATATCTTAAAACCATTTTGTTGAGAAGATCTAGCACATCCATGCTTTGGAGCACGGATTTGAAATTTAGCAGAGGGGGGTCTCCCTGGTTTCAGGGATATGCCTTTTGCTGTCCCTGTGAAAATCTGCCCAGATTTAGTAAAGACCCTCCAAACATCACACTTTGCACATGCTCACTAGAAGCTCGTTAGAGTTTGGCAGCTGACTTCTCTGAAGATTGCGTCTATACTGAGTATGCTCCATCCCCTCACAGCTCCTGCATTTGATCAGGCTGCGCAAGCACCATCACCGCAGAATGACTGAGCATGCTCTTCTCCAGGGGCTCTGTAGCACTTTCTCTGCAGTTTTTTCTCCCAGAGGCCATGGGTCACTGTGGTGCTGGGTACAGGAACTGAGAGCAGTGATCTTCCTGCTCACAGTGATCTTCCTGGTGATGCCTAGGCAGTGAGGAGGAGGAGGAAGGGACTTGATTGGAATTCTGAGGGGTGAGGCGCAAAGGGCGTTGGGGGGCAGCATTGTGGAGGTCAACATGGTTCCATATGTTAGGATTGTTTTTTGTTTCCTTTTTTTTAAAAATGAAGCTATGACAGAGGAAAAAATAGCATGTGATCATGTAATTAAAGATTGTATCATAGCATGTATGCACAAGGAGGCTGAATTAAGGTGGTGTGGGCATTCTTTATGCAGGCATTTACTAACTTTTGAAGGCTTGACTTTGCAAATATAACATTCTTGTAACATCAGGGAGTTTTGTATGTAATAGTACGTATACTGGCTTGTATCTCCCTGTCTGCAAAGGCACTAACAGTTGTCAGAAATGTTCTCAGGCATTAAGATTTGTAATTTGACAATTATTTAATTTTTTGAAAGGGCTTCAGAGAAGGGGTTCAAACAACCTGCTAGTGTCTAAATCTGTATTGAGCTGTATTTGGGAGCAATATAATATTTTCAAAAATTGTGCATCAGAAATCTGGCTCAGACTTTTGAAGTATGAATGATCACTCATGAGCTTGTTCTGCATGTTGAGAATATGGGAATAATTTGTTTACTGTCAGAGTTGTTTCACTTGAAAATAACTCTAGTCAGAGATGAGTTTTATCTGATTTCATATGTGACCTTAGCAACCTTCAGCAAGCAGAAACATTCTATTCAGTAGTGTCACAATATGAATGTCCATCTAAGCTGCTCCAAAGAGTTGAATTAGAATTTTCTATTAAAATAAAAGTAGCGATTTTCATCTGTGGAGGTTATCAAGGTCATACATATAATCACAAAAATAAATCACATGTAGCTTTACATAATATATTAGCTTTTGTTATTAAATATAATCCTCCCAGGATTGAAATAAAGATTATATGGAGAGGGTAACTGACCAACTGTCATCAAGAGCCCGCCACAGTTGTTATAATAGTATGCTCCAGTATTGTCTGCTTAAGTCAAGCCTGAGTTCCAATATTTTTCCCTTCTGTCTCCCCCACTCAAAAGCAACATAACTTTTCCATGCTTCCAGTCTGAAATGTGATGGATTTGTTGACTTCAAAGTGTCCAAAAATCAATCTGATACTTTCTTCCCAAAATTTCTGAGGTGTAAATGAGATTCCCCAAAGTATTTTTATTCCTTTTTTTCCCAAGCTTCCCACACATTGCCTGCTAGTGAGCCAGATCTGGCCAGTAAGGTGGAGGCCTTCCCACGTTAATAACTTTTGGTCACTGTTCAGCTAGACCACATTAGACTGGCCAGCTAGGGGTCAGTTGCTCTTTATCTCATTACCATCCCCTGAGTGCCCTCCTATTATTTCAGATTTAAAATCACTGGCAGAAGTTGAGTGCTTGTGCAGTGGTGGGAGCCAAACTCAAAGTTTGTATCTAATTTCCTGACTCTCATCTTAATTTTTTTTAGACTTTTTTTTGGCGGGGGGGGGGGAAGCCTGGGAGGAAAGTGGGAGAATGTTCTAAAAACATAAGTCATTTAATTTCCAGAGTAAATATATGTAGGTAACATGCAATATGCCAGTGCATATAGATCTGCATGAGTTGAGTATATAAGGGAAGATTATGCCTCCTAAAAAGTAGTGAGATCCTAGGAGCAAATACATTACCCACGTAGCAGTGTCTGGAATTACTAAAATTCTACTTTGAAAATGCTGACTAGGAATCCTCAAATATACAGCTCCATTTTCTCCTTACTTCTCCTTTTCTGTCTGCTCTTCTAGGCAGAGGGAGACTGAAGAAAGGAGTAGAAAAGTAGGCAGAATCTGATTATGTGAGGAGACAAAAAAAAATTATTCCCATTGATTGCCAATCTGCTTAATTAGCATATGGGGAAGAGCTAATGGATCTCCAGGCATGACCAAGCTGGACCCAGAAAATAGTTTAGAACATAAGAACGGCCAGACCAGGTCAGACCAAAAGCCCATCTAGTCCAGTATCCTGTCTTCTGACAGTGGCCAATGCCGGGTGCTTCAGAGGGAATGAACAGAACAGGTAATCAGCAAGTGATCCATCCCCTGTCACCCATTCCCAACTTCTGGCAAACAGAGGCTAGGGACACAAAGATCCAAAATTAAAACAGGAAGTGGTAACAAATGTAAACTTTTGACTTCTAAAACTTTAAACAACAAAACCTTTTGTCACCATATGAAACTGATGACAGACTGATTTGCTGTCAAACTTTACGGGTCAAAAGTTTTGTCATCTGAAACTTCATCTAATAGTTTTTATGGCAAATACACTTGGCTTCAGGCACAGCTGGCAACAAGTACACAATACCATCCCTGATGTACAATGTGCTGATGTCTTCTCAGCACTAGCCTGGTGTGTAGGCTGTGCCGTGTTGTGACTGCCCGTTGAACAGATGAGCACAAGGGCTATAGAGGAGGCTTCTAGCAACACCTTTCATGCCAGCCAGGACTTAGTCCTTTCATACATAAGGACTCGTGTTTAATTGTGACCTCTCCAGCTATCCAATGAGCTACACTCTGGGAGTTGATTAATTCTGAAAACAAAACTTGTTGTGTGTAATGTTATGCTAGCAGTTGGACTCTTATTGTGTCATGTCCATTAGCTTCTCAGAAAAATCATAATAGGAAAAAAGTTAAGGTTCCTAGGTAAGTACACTGCACTCATGACCAGGAACACCGGAAGATTGATATATCCCCTATTAGATCTTGTACTGCAATGTACACTTTCTGACTGTATTGTGACTTAATTGCCCATAACATGAGACCTTGGAAATGAGTCACTCTCAACCCAAACTGAATGTATGGTAGGAATAAAACACAAATTAAATCTTATGAATGGAGATAGCTTGGCATCAAAGGCTTTAGTGCTAGGTTATCAATTTGTCACATTTTAAAGTTAAATCTGTAGGCTAGCACAATCAATGTTGCACTGAAAACTACTAGCATACTTCTACAAGGTTTTGCTTGCCTGTATGAGATACAAAAGAATAACTCAAATAAGTAATGAAATAATTCTTTATTAAAATTAATGGAGATGATAATGACCTGCATTTCTGAAATAGCATTTGTGATTAGAAATAGACTTAACAGGGAGCATGGGTTACAGCACATGCGATGGCTTGAAATCTTTTCTCTGCTGCCTTCGCTGTCACCGGATGACTGGACGATAGCTAATATAATGCTGATTTTTTAAAAAAGTCTCCAGAGGTGATCTTGGCAATTTCAGGCAATTTATGGGCCAGTGAGCCTAACTTCAGTACCAGGCAAATTAGTTGAAACTTGTGACGTTCCCCTGGTGCTATCTGGGTCGGTGATCCGCTAGATCACTCCAATCCCTGACTCTGGGAGCCAGCCTTACCCTGCTCCGCTGTGAGAACCCCCACTCCCGGGCTGTTCACGCACAGCCTCTAGCATGTAAGCTGCTCCCAGCTACGCGAGTGAGCACTTTTGGCCAGCCACTGCTTGGATTGTGCAACCAAATGACACTGGCCAATATCTCCGGTCCCAGACACAGCCCTAGGAACCTCTGTCTTGCAGTGTCCAGTTATGCCTGCTGGACGCTGCAAGCTTATATGAGTTCATCAATTTACAAAGAAATTGATATGTACCAGGCTTGTTATCCCAAGGGGACTCTCTGACACGCTTCAAACCAAACACACTGCTTCAGGTAGAATAAAACAAACAAATTTATTAACTCAAAAGATAGATTTTAAGAGATTATAAATCAAAGCACAAGAAGTCAGCTTTGGTCAAATGGAATAAAAGCAAAACACATTCTAAGCTGCTCTTAACACTTTCAGTGCCCTTACCAACTTAGATGCTTCTCACCACAGGCTGGCTGGCTGCCCTTCAGCCAGGCTCTCCCCTTTGATCAGTGCTTCAGTCACTTGGTGGTGGTGTTTGTAGATGGAAGTGGAAGAGAGAGAGCATGGCAAACATCTCTCCCTTTTATCCTGTTCTTTCTTCCCTTTCGGCTTTGGCTCCCCTTTCAGAGTCAGGTGAGCATTACCTCATCGCAGTCCCAAACTGACCAAGGGAAAGGGGGTGACTCACTCGAGAGTACAACAGATCCTTTGTTGCTGCCTAGGCCAGTGTCCTTTTTTCCTGTGAGGCTGGTCTGGGTTTGTCCCATACATGCCCTGATGAGGTGTGAACTGCCCCTCTGCTCCTGGAGAGTTTTGCCTGATTTTAGGCCATGAGGACACATTTTCAGCTTCATGACTATATGCAAATAATTACAACCTATAACATTACTATAACAACAATGCTCAGTGCATCATGAGCCTTCTGAAGACACCCGACATGACAAACTTTGCATGGGATACCACATAATCATAAGGATGAACATGGGGATGCAGGATGTTCCCCTGAGGTACAGAGTGTCACAAAACTATAGTAAAGAACAGTTATCAGACACATAGGTGGACACAGTATGTTGGAGAAGAATTAGAATGGCTTTTGTAAAGGGAAATCATGCCTCACAAATCTATTAGAATTCTTTGAGGGGGTCAACAAACATGTGGACAAAGGTGATCCAATGGATATAGTGTACTTGGACTTTCAGAAAGCCTTTGCCAAGGTCCCTCACCAAAGGCTCTTAAGCAAAGTAAGGGGTCATAGGAGGGAAGGTCCTCTCCTGGATCAGTAACTGGTTAAAAGACAGGAAACAAAGGGTAGGAATAAATGGTCAGTTTTCAGAAAAGAGAGAGGTAAATAGTGGGGTCCCCCAGGGGTCTGTACTGGGACCAGTGCTGTTCAACATAGTCATAAGTGATCTGGAAAAAGGGGTAAACTGAGGTCGCAAAATTTGGAGATTTACAAAATTACTCAAGATAGTTAAGTCCAAAGCAGATTGGGAAGAGTTACAAAGGGATCTCACAAAACTGGGTGACTGGATGACAAAATGGCAGATGAAATTCAGTGTTGATAAATGCAAAGTAATGTACATTTGAAAACATAATCCCAACTCTACATATAAAATGATAGAACCTAAATTAGCTGTTACCACTCAAGAAAAAGATCTTGGAGTCATTGTGGATAGTTCTCTGAAAACTTCTGCTCAATTTGTATTGGATCAGTGTTCACATCATGTCCCCCATCAGTACCTGGCTAACCCTTGGGAAGCTAATGATCCAGCTTAGCAGACCAAATTCAATTATTCCTGGCCACTTGCCAGCCATCATCCCTGATGTGGTGCCAGACCCCTGGCTTTCTACTCATCGGCCCGGCTTTCAGAGTCCTCCAACTCAACATCGAGGATTTGGATGCTGATAAAGCTGCTGTCGAGTGGCTTGGCAAGCATTGCAAATGCTAGAAGAAGAATGTGCAGTCGCAGTCAAAAAGGCTAATAGAATGTTAGGAACCATTAGGAAAGGGATTGATGATAATACAGACAATATCATAGTACCATTGTACAAATCCATGGTATGCCCACTTCTTGAATACTGCGTGCAGTTCTGGTTGCCCCATCTCAAAAAAGATCTATTAGATTTGGGAAAAGTACAGAGAAGGGCAACAAAAATGATTATGCAACAACTTCCATATGAGGAGAGATTAAAAAAGACTGGGACTGTTCATCTTGGAAAGGAGATGATTGAGGGGGATCTGATAGACAT